CAGGCGGAAGACGAGAACCAAATGAAGAAACAGTGATATAGGTGAAATAAAGGAAGACAAACATATGAGGTGTAGTCCACATGCCCTACAGAAGAATTTCCTTGAATGGACAATGCAGATGAGATACTAAAGAAAAGATAAGTGTGAAACATGATGAGAAGAAACTGGGAACAAAGTCTGGGAGGACAACGTAACAGGGGAATCAGCCAATAAAAACAAAAGCCAAACCCATTAGATGAAGATGGGAGGAGAAAGATCCAAACAGAGGATGTTAGCATGGAATAAAGAAGTGGGAACAGGCACCACAGATGGAAGCCATGTGGGCAATACATCACCAAAGAGCATGTAGGACATGGAAGTCTATCTGGGTCATGCTGAGGATGAGGTGGGAAAACAGAAGGAAGGGGAAAGCAGCAAAAAGGAGGAGGCACCCTCCCATGCTGCAGAGGTGTGAGGGAGGAAAGAATGATCCAGAAAAGGAGAAGATACGTATGAAGATAAAGAGTATGTGAAACATAGATGGCAAACAAATCCAAACACTGACATCTGACAGCCAACAGAAGGAACTAAGTATGAAAGGAAAGGTGAAATAAGGAGCATGTGGAAAGTGGTTCAAATTGAGGAAAAGAAAAGCAATGGAGGACTACCAGAAAATCCCAGTCCAAAAGGGCAGCCTGCCATGGAGGACAACTAATCTGGAAGTAACAGAACAAGATGGAGAGTGTAGGAGAGGAAAACATGGTGGTATCAGGAAAAACAGTAGGTGTGGGAGAAAGATGCATGATAACTAGAAATCGAGGCAATAGAGAAACCATGATCAAAAAGCCTAGAGAAATTCTGCAAAATGAATGAGAGAGGGCCAAACAGTCAGAAATTTCTGGCCTAGAGACCAACGGTGGAAAATATTCAATTGATGCAAATAAACTTCCATGGATGAAGGGCTTATGGAATGGCCCAGAAGGGAAGTGACAATCCAGGATAATCACGATCTCTATGCCAAGAACTGAATAAAAACCAAGCATGAAGAGAAAGGACAGGAAGAATGGGATGAAGCAACAATGACCGAGTTTGTTGAAGCAGGCAGGAGACAGAGGAAGGGGATAGCAAAAGGGTACGGTGGAACTGGAGAAGACAAGGAAACCAAGATGGAGCCGACCAGTAAGGAGCAATCAGAAGGACCTGACACATGAAGTATGGAAGATTTAAATCATCCTGCAAAGAATTCAAATGGGCAGATAACATATAGGAAATTATCGGTCCAATCCTGATTGAAAGCATCAACAGTCAGGGTAAGCAGATGAGGGACTGGAGACAAAAACAGAGAGAGTTTGTAGCTGAGGGATGGAGTAAATGCATAGATGTGAGGCATACCCCCCTGAAGGCAAAGCCACTGAAGAATCATAGGATTGAGAGACCACTCCACTGGGTGGAGTTTGTCCAGACGGGAAGAACGATTTGTGACAAGATGGAAAGCACCCTGAACCTGACACACCCTGATATGGTTATCCTGCATGTAGACCCAGAAAAGATAATCCAATGTGTGAAATAGAGGAATTAAGAATGGGTGTCACTCTGGCAAATGAGATAAGCAACCACAGTGGAATTATTGGGATGAATCATGACCAGACGATGTCTGGCCCAATGGAGGAAATGATCCAAGGCCAAACAAACCATGAGAAGCACCAGTGTGGAGTTGAGAAGACTTCTCGGTCACAAACCACTTAGAAGCTTCCTGGTGATCGACCCATACCTAAAGAGAAGCATCCATAAAAAAGAAGGAAATCTAGATGAGGAGGAGGAAGCACGACACTTGCTGACACGTGGGGCTTGTCCAACCACCAACACCAATTGTCGACTATGGTAAGAGGAAGGGTACTAAGAGCCTGCAAAGGAACCCATGTAAGAGATCATTAGTTGTGAAGAGCTCACTGAAGAGCTTGCATAGGAGCCCAACCCAAGAGAAGAAGTGTAGTCATGGAAGATCATATCCCTGAAAGTGATAGAACCTCACATGCAGTAAGAGAGGGAACAGCATGGAACTGGAAGCTCCAATGACGAATGTCGAACAAGCCAAAGCTCAAACCACTCGACAAAAACAGACGAGACTGAAGCAAGCCCAAAGGGAATATGCAGAGCTGATAAATCATACTTCAAAGGACAAACCAAAGATATGGTCGCAACAAGCAAGGGAGCATTATATATAATGAAACAGTTGTGACAACCATTCGGGTCATCTGGAAACCTGGAAAAACCGCCAGAGGGCGAGACACGAAAGAGGTGGGGCAATCTATGATAGTTTGCCAGCACCGGTTGGCATGGGGACAACCAACAGCCTGGAATAAAACCTGAAGAAAAAAAATTTCACAATTTCAAAGGCCAGTTGAAACAGATGGTCGAGAACAGCCTCTGCCCAATTTTGGCTGGTAAAGGGATCCTGCAGTTGAGAGGATGAATGGGAATCTGTGACAAACGAGGGGAAGGGATTGAAGAACAAGTCCAACCGAGAGAACCTGAATAACCAACTTATCTGAGACAAAATATATCACCAAAGGGCAACAAAGTTGCACAATCGAGCTCCTACTGGACCAGAACCCCCTGGGTAGTCACTAGTACTAATGGCAGTATGTCAAAATACGTCAAAGAATATGACATGATACGGAACCCCTGGAAGATTGAAATAGGAATAGGGCTTGTCGTGAATTCAACAAGGACCAATGAGCAACCCAAGAAGAAAAGGGTAGAGTGTTGATGCAAGGATTCCACATGGAAGTCCAAAGTGTTCCAGATATGGTCGAAAATACCTCCTAAGAAAAGTAGGGCGAAACAGAACACCCTGAGATAAGTGAGAGGCCAATGAACCTGTGACAAAACCTCCTCATGACCTTGAGTATCCCAACAATGGAGAAATCACGTGTAGGAGGCGAGAGCTGGGGATAACATACAAGTCCACATGGAGTTAAAAAGTGAGAGGTTGTCCCTGGAAAAACTCTTAGGATGTCTGTGCAGGGCTTCAGAAAGGAGAAGTATGGTAGATAAATACAGCAGAAGGGAAATAAGGGAAAGACAATGCGTGAAAACTGGGCATGGAAGAATGCACCAGAAAATCAGTGACAGCCCCCCCCCCCATATTAGCAAAATAGACCCAAACAACTGAGATTATAAAAATGGACAGTCTGCATGATGGTATGCCAAAGCAGACTGATCCGTAGCCCGTGGGAGCGAGGTATGCTGGCCCCAACAACCAAATGGGAAGCAAAATGCACAGCATGAACCCTAATATCCGGGGAAAGGGATAAAACATCACATACCTGAGAAATATAACCAAAAACGCCATAGTAGGCCTGGTTGATTCCCAGGTAGGGCAGAGGAAGACACGACAAAATCCAGTGATGGAAAAAGGCTATCAAGTCTTCACCAGAATGAACAGGGTCGGATTGTTCGTGAGGAAGTGGGGCAATATCAGGAGAATGCGTTAGACCCACATAAGGTTCAATCTACCAGTGAAAAATCTCCGGTAAATCCCACGACAAGTCGCCCCCACCTGCAACAATGGCAAAAGAATGTTCTTAGAAAGTGTGTGATAGAGAATATAACATGGGAAAAACAAAACAAAACTGAAAAGTAATGGAAAATAAATTCATCAGCCGTATAAGCAAAAACGAGTAGAAAACCACAGTGGTAATAAAACTGTTAAAGTTACGACGAAGAAGCAAACGAGAGCAAAATTAGAAACATTTGAACATGAGCACTGCCACACGAGAAGTGAAAGTTCGGTAAAGGAGTATAGAGGGAGTCACATGCATCATGTGAGCATGTCATGCTACTATTGGTTAAGATATGACGCATGATGATTTGCATGAGAGACATGTTGGAATATGGTGATTCCAACAAGGGGGGACTGCAAGGCTTGTGGCATGCGTAAAGAAAATGTTTGCATATAGAGGGCAGCACTGAACGAGAATAGCTAATCTTGTGAGAGGAGGTATTGTATTGGAATAATCTTCTCAATCTGTTAGCAAATTACTCAAGGTCATCTTTTAATTTATAACTAACTAATCATAAAATATTTTATTTGTTCAGTATACCAGTGTGGACAGACCAACTTCAGGTAGCTGGGCTTGTCTCAGCTCACCTGGTTTATATTAGGAAGGGAGGAGAATGGGAGTTTAAGTAATTATTACAGAGTTAGTGAGGTAAGGGTCTTAAGTTCTTTTTAACATCACTTTGTAATAATTACTAAAAGAAAGGGTGGAGGTTGGGAGTCTTATAAACTGTAGAAATACAAGGTGGTTTATTTCTACTACAAGAATACTTTTTCTTATTTGTTGGGGCAATTTGCCTTATTGTATATCTTTTTATAATATTTAAAGGGGTGGAGGTTGGGAGTTTTCCAACTGTAGAAATTTTAGGGTAGTTCATTTCTATTTTAAGGTTATGTTATATCTAAATATTAAAGGTAACTGCTTTCCCACAACTGGCTGCAGACAGAGAAAGGCATTAGGAGTTGAAACGTTGTGGGTTCAATCACTGAACTCCTAACCCTTAACTGATTCTCCATAGTTGCTGACTAGTTTGACATCTGCATTTGGATCTCATCTGATATATGAGAACAATACTTTTGGGAGCTAGTACCACAGATATTTGTTACTATAGGTTAATGATGATGACAATGACTGGTAATAGAAAAAATGTTTGGATTTTTTAATCTCATTATTGTTATATAGTGCTGAATTGATTATTTATTTACAAGTAATATATGTTATAGCATTAGAACTATGGATTTTTTTTTTCAATTTTGGCTTAAAATAAACACTGAGAATTGCATGCATCTAACAACGAAGTAGTCTATGCCTATTTCTTCAAGGAACTAGAAATGTTGAATAATTCAAGCTAATAGTGTCTACAAATGTCTTCTTATACAAGTTATTACTAGCTAAGATTTATATTATGATTCAGTTTCTGTATGTTTACAACTGGTAATTAAAGGAAATACATCTCACCTTACTAAAAATGTGCGTAGCTTAAGAAAGTCACTATGGACAGGATTCTCCACTGGAATTTAATAATGTAATATTTGTCAAAAAATTAATTCACTGCTAACAATCTTCTTTAAGCATTTATAAAACATCTTTAAACAACCTTACTATATTTAAAAATTTTAAATGTAAGTCTTTGTAAATGTAAAGTTGTTTCTAAAAGATCTTCACTTAACCTTGACAGTACTGAATGTCCACACAAAAAATTATAGTATTGAAGAAAACAGTGTTCAATTAACATAACTGTCAGTCATAAGCTTGCTTGTTCCTTTTACAGGTTACTATAATTACTAACAATGATAAATTGTAACTACAATGATGTCAAAAAAACAACTATTAATGTAAGTAAGATTATTTTTGACAGGAAACTCATAGTTAGCTTGCTACCACTCATGTGCTTGAAACCATCTGTATTAATGGTAAAACATAATGTTCTGTGTTTTCAATTGGTTACAAAATATAAAACTTATTGGAACTGTTTTAAACTATACAATACATAAAGCATAATTTACTGCTACTGATTAAATAACGTGTGAAATATAAGAAAAATTCAGCTACATGGGGTTCTGTTCATAAGCTTAATATGTTTACCTCACATAGATAACAGTTTTCTGGTTATTATTGAAAATGTGTGACCTTTACCAATCCATTCTGACGTTGATTTTCGATTTATTTATTTTTTTGCAATCAGTTTCAAGTTCACAAAATACTTGCACTGTATCTTGGAAAATGTCAACTAATTCAAATTTAAACATTATTAAAAAACTAACATTAACAACTAAGCTTCCCATGACTTACTGGGAACATTAGAAAATTTACTTGCCAATTTCTATATTATACTAACTACCCAAAAGGGACTTCCAACTTAATAGCAAAAATATTCACATATTTATGATTTTCTTCTAGTTTCCAACTTTAAGTAATAGTTTAGGATGAACAGTATCCAGATGAAAATAAAATGTTAAATAAAATACCAGTAACATAGTACATTTAGTTATTGTACACTACATACATAAATAATTATTATTAAAATCTGATGTGTTTATATATTCTTGGATAGTTATATTAATACGGGAGTAAAAGATAATCTGGCTGTGCCTAAAAGGCACACAGCACCAATCCTTAATTCTGTTTCTGGTAGCACAAGTGGATGAATGATGACACATTCAGCCTGGATGGTATGCCAGTGAAGCAAATATGGGGTAAAGTGTCTTGCTCAAGGACCAGAGAATAAATAACTTTCAAAGCTGCATTAATATAATACCAATAACATATACAAGGTTTAACACCAGTGATTTCTAACAAGTATTGACATTCAGTGTTTTTAATTAAATTTGTGACTGCACATGAAGAAAATGAATTTTTGAATAGTTGTCATATAAATTTTAACTGAAAATACTATGACATTACCTCAACTAGTATTTGTGGCAGCAAACATCTTCTTTGTTATCTTTCAAAATTTCTTAATTCAACCTATGGAAAACTTTTATGACTATTTTAGCACTCCACATACGTAGATAATAAATAATAACTAAAGACAAAGTAAAACAAGCAGGGGTTAAAATTAACTAAAACCAAGAACCATAATCTTACACCTTATCCAGAGTACATAAAGGTCTATAATTTCAAACTACTAGTAACTTTTCTAAATCAGTTCTCCTATTCCGTATTTTAAGAATTATCTCATAAAATGTTCTAAATTAAATATTGAGACAATTAGAATATCTAGTACTGACTTTGATAAAGCAAATATAGCTTGAAATCTAGTTATACTTTAATGTCCTTCTCTCTGCATCTCAGTGAGGTTGAGGAATAATATTTTTATTATTAGATGTACCATTTTAGTATTTTTAGACCACATTAGGAAAATTAAACTCATAAATATTTACCTTCTACAATACCCCAGGGATATATACGTCCTCTCACTCTCCTGCCATTTACCTCTACAACCTGTGTGCTACCAATCACAGCAAATGGAATACTTTGCTAAAACAAACACAATAAATAGTTGTCCCATCTTAGTTTAAAACTGGCAAAATGTTGCAATAGTTACACTTGATATATTGAGTTTTAATTATAAAATACTGAGTGAACACAGTCATTACATTATATTTTAACTTGAAGAAGAAAGACCAAAGAAAGTCTGATGTACAATGTATTTAAAAATAATTTCTGCAATATTGCATTCTATAACTATTTGGTAAATTAAAAACTTATTTTAAAATTGTTGAACAGTCATGTTTTCATTGAAAACAATATAATGTAACTTTAAATTATTACTTATGTGTACCAGTTAATATCGCTTGAAATACCAATTTTTCTTATAGAATCCACTTTTTAAAGTAACTCATAAATACTACCAGTGACAATAACGTTAACAAAGATATATATTTTCAAGTAAATTTAAAATTCTTGCAATTCCTAAAATAAATACACTGTACAAAATTATCAAGCTTTGTAATATTTAGAAATATAACCTTCCACTTTTTAAAATTGTAACCTTGTTTAACTTTTTTTTTAAAACTCTTAAATTGTTTCGACTATCTCAAGTTCATGTATTAAGTGATATTTGTCTACTAAGTTGTGTAGGCTAGCTTTTATCGTTTTAGCTGTTATCGTTAAAGAACATGGAATGTATTTAGACCTACTTGTTCATAATATATGCAGCAAATAATGAAATCCTTAACCCACAGATAATAGATTAGAATCTCTTGTTTAGTTGTTGGGTATTAAAATTTGAGGTTGTAGTCTAATATGCTTTATTAAACTGACTAATGCAGGTTAATTACTGACAGTAGAAAGTTTTGATTTTTGAAATAATTTATATCTGTTAAAAGTGGTTCCATAATTGCAATTAGTTAACAATAGCACATTGAGTTAAGCTAAGTCTAACCAATTTGTATAATAATGTTGAAAAAATTTAATTAATAATGAAATGCACTTTTTTTTACTAGAATGTTTTAGGGGCTTTAACACATTGAAAGTTTTACAAGCAGCTAATCAGGTAATTTTCATCTTTTACTAATTCATTTTATACAAGTGCATATGGTCAAACCTCATCTGGTTCATTGGTTCTGTTGTAGCTGAATCTATAAGGAATGCTATACTACTTTAAATATGTTAATATGTCAAATCTTTTAAAAAAACAATTAATTCAACTGCTTATTAAAAGGTATATAGTACATGCATACATACACACACAGTATATAATCTGAATTATTTACTTTTAGCTCTCTATCTTGCTGTTTGAACTCATCATCTTCATCACTGTCACACTCAGGTAGCTGGTAAACATGAACCTCATTTTCTTCCAGTTCACGTAAGATCTACATAATAGATCAGTTCACGAAATTTAAAGAAAGAGAAGGCTCAGAAATGTTTTTTGTTTTTATACTTTGCAAAGTATCTCTTGAGCATATTAACTTTACATATCAAATCTTTCTCATAATTGGAGAAAAGGAATAGAGTTGCAAGTTAATTGGAAACTTAATTAATGTTAGCCAACTGTCTCATGAGTTATATAATTTACTATGGTATCTATATCCATGAATTTTATTTCTATAGGGAGGGGAACCCCTTTCCTAGATTGTTTTACAAATTTGTGGCTTTTATTCCTAGATGATAACTTTGGTGCAAAATATTATATATGTTCTCTTATAACTGTACCATTTTATACATACTTGTAAAAAGATCTTAGGTGGATACAACCAGGTCATGTTTATACACATATCATACCTTCAGCATTCAAATGTCCTGCATCACATCAGTCCCCAAATAAAATCATCCCTCCATAGAAAGAATTCTGAAAGAGCACCCCTATATGTTCAACGAAAATTTCCAATATTACCTCCACTCACATAAAAAGCTATTCTTGTTCAGTGCAGCCCTCTATGTGCAAAAAAAAATATTTTCACATGCCACAAGCCTTCAACTCCCACATACCTTACGATCAAATGGTTCAACTGCATTACGCATGTAAATCCTCATGTGACAACCCTCCACCAATAAGAGTGTGACACACTCTTGACGCATGTGATTCCCTTTACTCACTTTTACTGAACTATCACTCTAAGATCGGCAGTGCTTGTGTTTTGACATTTAGTTTGTGCTCTCTTCAAGTGTCTTTCTTCCTTATCTTTGTGTCAATCTATCTCCTCAAGTTTACTATTTATTATACAGTAGTAACATTTGTAACTTGTTCAGTTATTCCATTGTGGAATTATTATATATTTCTACCTAGTTACAGAACTTATTACTTCATTACAACAACTTTTTATTTATTTCTGCCAACATGGGTTGTGTTGGTTATTCATTTTGAATTATAAATTCCAAATTCTAAGTTACCACTTCGGGTAATATGTTCTATTAGCACATTTACACAGGCTTCAGGTAGTGGTACTCCACTGGGGAATTATTGACTTTACTTTGATGGATTCTGGATTGACTGGTCCCACCTCAATCACTTCTTGGGATTTTCCCATTTTAATATGTAGTCTTTGATCACATTCAGGTGGTCTATATCTGCAGGACTGAGAATGCCCCACAGTACATGTTCTTATTTTTCATTTCTGAGGACGTTAACTTAGGTTTTTTCACCACATGATTTGATACCAGTTTTGTGCTTTGCCCTTTGGCCTTGTTTCAGTTCCATATGTCTTATGTCACATGGTCTGTATTTTACTCAACTTCCACATTTTGGGGGATTTTACCAACATCACTACTTGGACGTCTAGCTGTAGTTAGTTCCCTCCAAATTGGGGTGGTCATAACATACTCATCTACTTCTTCCACAGTCAGCTCAGGTGGTTAGATCTTCCAGTTGGATAAGTTTTTCCTGTTACATACCTCACATTCTTGTTTATTTGGAGAGTGTAATTTTCAACACCCCCCTCCATCTGGACCACCCATTTTCCTCCTTGAATGCATTTGATTGAGTTTTCTGTTATCCCAGCCATAACTGTTAACTATCTTATTGCTAATGAGGTTCTAATGCATTGGGGGATGTGGTTTCTATGGGATCACTCCCTTAGAGTCTAGCACATTTGCAATCTTTTCAGGAGATGCTGCATGACCCATGGTCTCTTGGTAGGGTTCATTTGGAATTTCCTCACAACTTTCATCCTTCCCTCTATGACTATATGCTTTGGTGGTTGAATATATATATATATATATATATATCGAGTTTACTGCTTCCTCTCCCTCATCTTAATTTGTTTCTATTCCCTGATGCTCATCTCAAAAGCTGGGGGGCATTGTTTTGATCAGTAGGAGGCTTCAGGATAATGGTCTACAGACAAAACGTTTTATCACTTTAACACCCTGGCACTTCTGGCAGTCCAATGTATTTTAATTCACTCTCTTCTTCTTGTCTGGATTTGACTATTAATGTTCCATTCTGACTATTCAATGGCGACGGCTTATATCACTTGCCAAGAGGGCACTCATTCTTGTTCCCTTTGTGAAAGACTGTGGATCTCCCTTTTTGAACCCACACACTTGACATACATCTCCTGGAGTGTTGTGTTCCATGTGTTTTTTTTTTCCTCATTGCTAATTGCCTTTACAGTCCCAACACTTTCACCCAAGGAGTGGCCTCTCAATCTTTCAAATTTTTGGTGGTTCTGCCTCCTGTGTACTTCTCCACATGAATTTTTGACTCCTTTCTCAATTTCAAGTTATTTCTTTTATTTCTGGTCTCCAGTTCATCATCCACTAGCCCTGACTATTGATACATTCAAACAGGATTAGATTCAGTTTATAACTCTAGTTTTTCTCATCCCATCAGTCTTCTTCCCAAGATGATTTATTCATCCATGTCACTCCAAGTCAGATCTTTCTGACTGATCCTTCCTGGCTGACACAGATCTGGTTTTCGCAGCTGTTTCAGCTCGATATTTTCTTTTTGTTGTGGATCAATTTTACTAACATAAACTTTGGGAGCTCATGTGGAATATTATTTTCGACTTTTTCATTTCTTGCTATCTTACACCTTTATTCTCAGTCGTATCTGGATGACCTTCTCTATCCAGTACATGTTGTGGGTTGCTTCATTGCTTTTAAGGTTTCTTTCCATTGTATCCATTTCCCATGTGATTTGATTGGTCTTTATTCCTTGTCTCCTTTTTACCATAATCAGTTCCTAGTGTCTTCACTCTAATCAGGCACCTTCCCTTTTCCCTGTATATCAACCAAGACATCTGTTGGAGGTACTTCGCCTGTCAATCACTGGAACTACACCTCAGATGTTCATCTCCCATTATCTGCCTTGGGTAGCTGTTTCTTCTTCATCTGGGTACCATTTTCCACCTGTTGCCATTCTTCACTCTTCAGTGAGACTGTAACTGGGTAAATCTTCTTTCTTTTGTGATATATTTTATTTTTCAGGGGCCTGTCCCATATTTTGACCAGGATCCAAACTCTGTGGTAAGTGATGCCTGTCCAGGTATACTTCAATCACTTAAAACTGTACTAAAACTCACACTGTAAGGTCATGTTGATTTCACTTTCACAATTTCTAATGCCACAAAACACAATGCCACTGTTCATAACAATTACATAAACTAGAGATTGGGTGTGCCATAAAATTGCTTGTAGGTTATTCCTCGCAATATCTTTGCTTCATAAATATGGCCATTCCAGACTGAACTAACTCATGGACTTCCTGGGTAAAGCAGAAGAGGATAGCTGCCCATTCCTGCCCTTCCTTAGATTGAATAAATCAGATACGGTCTCCTTTTCAAAATAGGGTTCTCATGGTCACCCACTGCACTGTCTCTGATGTGGATATTCCTCCAGGCTCCTCTACACCACATTTTCTCCCTCTTTTTCTTCCAATGGGGTATGGGAGTCCTTACCACTTTCCAGTTCCATATGCTGCTGAGGTGATGGACCATGGAGCATACTCCAGAATGTGATAGTGATATACAATACAAACAATAATGAAACCATTCAGTTGAGAGTGGGGTGGTAGTATTCTGCTAGTGTGGATGACAATATGCCCCAATCTGATGTTCCATCTCCGTTCGGGTCTATCCGAGGGGATGCTGTAGCTTTGGAGTGAGCTGATTGACTTGCAGTTCACCTCTTCAATTGGGATCCCTCGTCCTTCCCCCACATAGATGTCAGTCCCCAGTAGCTGGATTTTGGATTCATAGCTGAACCAATCAACATAAGTCCTCACACATGTATGACAGGTGTCTGTTCCCTCATTCAACTGTACACTTATTCACTCCATCCATGTTGTGGGTCATGGTGGTGGAACTTGTAGATTAATACAGTTCTTCCTCTTATGCTATTCCTTGATGTTTTTCATATTCTGAGAATGCTATTGTCCTGGGGGTGGTTCCGGTCAGCTCTTTTTGAGTAGATTTTTATTATGCCAATCGTACAGATTTTAGGTTCCTGGATCGATCAAACAATTGATCACACTGCTAGCACGTGTCCCTGTGATTTCCTCCAGTCTGCAGAACTTGAGGTAGGGAGTCCCAGAGAATTATAGTTCCCACCCATGGAAGCGTATGTATGCGAAATTGCAACTGTGAATACATAAATCTCACATAAATAAAATACTAATTATTTTACACCAAACAACAAATGGAAGATATCTACAGCACTAATACATGCTGAATTTGCATGATATATTTCAAGGCAACCATACTCCCACTAGTTTGAAATCAGCTTTGAAAAACATTGCAGAGATCACTAAATCCCTTGTTCACCATTTGTCAGCATCCAGAGAGTGAATGTTAAAACCAAAACCATGGTGTTAGTTCAAACTGGCTGAACCAATAAGGATCAGTGATACATCAAACGATACCTCTCATCATGCCCTACTTTGGTCTGGGTGGTTTCATGGGATCCAGACGCATTTACTATTTGAAAACACACAAATAAAACTTTAAACCATTTAAAATTATTTTTAGTCATTGAATTGATAGAAACTTGGTGTTGAAGACTACACACTGAATAAACCGAATAGATATGTCTGCCCAATTCGAACATAAAGCATGTCAAAAATTATAAATGGGGATTGTAAGCAGCCTATATGTTGCCTTGGCAACATGTTGCTTTACGTCATATCGTCGGTCGAAAGCAGACTATGTTGACCTGACAACAGTTTGCTATACATCATATCATTGGGTGTGGCTATGACATCATGGCATGATGTAGAATGGGTAGGGGTTACTACTGATACATACCTGTCAATCACGGTATTTCAAGTTTACAACCAATGTGATTACAAAATTTCACCTATTTTTTCCAGGTATATAGGTAAGCTCATACTTCATTATTAATATTTGGTTATTGACAATTTTAATTTAATTTA